CTTTCTGTGCTAGACTGAAGGACCTATTGTCAAATATTTGTTCCCCAGGTGGGTATGTATGGACAGGGATCTAGTCACCCCTTAACCTGCTCTTTGTTGAGTCCTATCTCCCTAAGAACTCCTTGGAAACCTGATATCAGGGCTGCGGGTTTTCAGAGGCTGCACCTCTCGGGACAGCGCAAGAGAAAGCAGAAGTCACTTGAGACTATGGTCTGCAAAGTGGTTCTGCTGGAAGGTGGCCAGTCAACGGGTCCTGGGTGCAGGACAGTCTCAGAGCAATGGAGGCATTTAAGCAATGTCCTTTGTGCCCAACAGGAGGAAAGGTAATTGGGGTACTGTGTTAGGGTGTCAATGTACAGATGAGTGCGTGGGTGTGTCTGTGAGCACCTGTAAATGACCTCCACCGGGAGTGCTAAAGAGTAATCTCCCAGATGTAAATAACTGTGAAGTTCTGACTCATCAAACCTTGAAGGGTGAATTCCTAGTTTTGGGACAAGTCTCCACAGAAACCGCCAGCTCTAATTCGGTTAGGGGAAGATACAGCTGCTGCTTATCGGAAGTGCTTTGTTAACATGTGTATTCCTGTGTTTGGGGGAGGGGGAGAGGAAACACATAAGGGGAAACAGATTAGCCATTAAACAAACAGGAGTACTTGTGGCACCTTAGAGATTAACAAATTTATTAGAGCATAAGCTTTCGTGGGCTACAGCCCACTTCATCGGATGCATAGACTGGAACATATAGTGAGGAGATATATATACATACAGAGAACATGAAAAGGTGGGAGTTGTCCTACCAACTCTAAGAGGCTAATTAATTAAGATGAGCTATTGTCAGCAGGAGAAAATAACCTTTGTAGTGATCATCAAGATAGCCCATTTAAGACAGTTTGAGAAGAAGGGGTGAGGATACTTAACATGGGGAAATAGATTCAATAAAATGCAGTGATGAAAACTGGAAATAGGATGCGAGCTGAAGCCTCACCGGCGCTGAGAAGAGCGGGACAATTACCTCCCGTGTCTTACATACGATCTTCCAGTTAATACACCCCACATGACATTTCCCATTTTTACTCCCCATCACACTCTTGTCTTTGGTGATTTGACTGCGTTGATGACTTGATTCTAATATTGCTGCTGCTAATTTGACTACTTGATCTTATTTTCACCTCCACTGGAGAATGGCCGAGTCAGTTGGGTAGAGTTTGTACTGGCTTGGTCTTAGCGATCTGTTTTCTTGATTTTGTATTCAGGGTTGTTGTTTTACTTGTAACAAAATGGCTAGAAAGCACACTGCGTCATTTTTTTCTTTCAATCAGCAACTTGGGCTGGAACCATAGAGAATCTTTGGCTGGTACCAGCCAAGCCACTTTGGAAAGCCATTAGCTTCCCCTAAAGTAACTCTGGTTCTCATAGGGGTCTGTCTGGTGCCTGGCATGAGAGAACCCTGATCCCAGCTGCAGAGGAAACCCTAATCCCTAACAGCTCCTCATAACCTTAACCCCCGACTGGGTATGTGTCACTTAAATCAGTTCCCTGCCTTTGCAGGGGCCGTGGTCATGGTACACCTCAGTCCCTCCTGTTCTCTGCCCGTGGCACATGACAGTTCAGTCTCCTGAGGGCTGTAATGTTTGGCTCTAATTCTAGCTGTTGGTTTGGTGTGGGGGCAGCTGGGGGTTGATTGGGGGGGGGGGCTGTGATATACAGCTCAGAGTAGCTGGTCTGGCCATGAACCCTAACCCAAGCAGCCCCCATATCTAACTCATAAATCTAACCCTCACTTTTAACCCTACCTCTAACTCCCACCCTCCAACCCTGCCACTAACCCTTGTCTAATGTCTAATCCCTGCCTTTGCCCCAACCTCTGAAAAGGCACCCGGCTCTCGGAGCGGAAGGTGGGGAAGTTTGGGATGGCCCTTAGATCTTGGGGGAGGTCATTCCACCGTCTGGGACCAGCCCCCGGAGAAACGTCTGTCTCCCGCACCGATGAGCTTCACCCTTATTGTAGAGAGCTTCACTGGGCCAGCAAGTCAACCATGGTCTTCATCCTGGATCTCTCAGCTCTTTCAGACACAGTGGGCCCAGGGCATGAAGTGCTTTGAAGATAAGCCTGAGACCATGAACTTGATTCAATATTGTAGCACAGACGTGGGCATATGGCCCCTGTGTCCGAGCATCTTCTCAATATTTCACCGAAGGGGGTCATGTGTGGGCTCTGCTGAATGCTGGGAAGCAGCCGCTTGTCACGGTTATTGCCAGATTTTTGTATGAGCAACGGTTTTAGAGCCAGGTCCCAGGTAGGATATTGAGTTCTGAATCTTCTGGGAGTCAAACCTGAGCCAGGGGGAGGCTGGGAGCTAACCCGGTCAACGTGAGAACAATGCACATCCGTGGAGGCAGCCTCTGTTTGCTGGCTGGATGGGATGCAGGCTGGCCATCTACAGAGACAAACCACCCCCAAGGGAATGCTCAGGAGAGGGGGCCCCTGGTCTCGGAGACAATAGCTTGTGCCTGGATCAGCGCAGAGGAAATGGCCCATTACAGAGTAGTGACTGTGCCAGCGGTGGGATGGGGGATCCCAGACTGGACAAGTGCTGTGAAACCCTCCAACGGGAGAGAAACACCTCAGCAGACAGGAAAGGAACCTGTTTGCAAGGTGGGCTCTAGACGGCATCTGATGTTTTCCTTTTACCTTTCACCTCAGGTTTCCAAAGCCTGTTACTTGCTTTTTATTTGAATCTCTATCTGAGGCTCTGTTAAATGAACTTCAGTTTGATTTGATTGTAAACCTGTAAGGGATGGGGGACTGTCATGAATAGGGGGAAGGGTAGCCTTTATGTATCCTTGGCAACTGTACTGAATTGCTTTACCTGTAAGGGATTAAGTAGTTCAAATAACCTAGTCGGCACCTGACCAGAAGGACCAATAAGAAAAGAAAATACTTTCAAATCTGGGGGAGGATTTGTTTGTTGTTGTTGTTCCCTCTCCGGACGGAGGGAGAAGCCATGCGGGTACAACATCTCCTGAAAATATACCTGGAATAATCCATCTAAATCCACAGAAATTGTAAGCAAGGCAAGGAAATGCGTTAGGTTATCTTTTGGTTTAGCTTGTGAATTCTCCTATGCTACAGAGATAGTTTTATTCCTCTTTTTGTAACTGTGAAGCTGAGCCCAGAGGGGAATCCTCGGTCTTTTAAATCTTTTTATTACCCTGTAAAGTTACCTTCCATCCTGATTTTGCAGGTGTGATTTTTATTTTTTTTCTTTATAAATAAAGTTCTTCTTTTAAGAACCTGATTGATTTTTCAGTGTCCTGAAGCCAAAGGGTCTGGTCTGTGCTCACTTTGCTAAAGCAATTGGTTGGTATTTTATTCTCAACTCTCCCCAGGAAAGGGGGTGAAGAGGCTTGGGGGGAAATTTTTGGGAAATAGGGATTCCAACTGACCCCTGAATTTTTGTGTAAATCACTTGGTGGTGGCAGCAATACCGTCTAAGGACAAGGAAAGGAATTTGTGCCTTGGGGAAGTTTTTAACCTAAGCTGATAGAATATAAGATTAGGGGGTCTTTCATGTGGGTCCCCACATCTGTACCCCAGAGTTCAGAGTGTGTGGATGTGAACCCCGACAGGGGCATAGGTGGTTTGGCCTAGCCGTCACAGCGGGGCTGAGGCCTGCCCACCAGGGATGGGTGTCGCCATTCAGGAGCTGGAGGAATCACAAGGCCAGGTCCTGTAGACCGGAGTCGGGCTCAGAGTCAGGCTGGAGTCAGAGAGCGGAGAGTGGGAGACAAACTGGAGTCTGACGTTGCAGCAGGTGAAGGTCTGTGGTTGCCCAGCCAATTTCCTGGGGCCTTCCCTGGAGGTTAAGTAGGGGCAGTTGGCCAATCAGAGGGCCGCAGGGTACTGTCAGATTGGGTCTTGTGGGCGGCACTTCCTGTGGCACCAACTTCCCACAGTGCTCCCTGGCTGTGCCTCAGCCTGGTCCCTGGTGGCACTGTGGGAATATCAGCTGCCTCAGGCTCTGCAGACCTGGGTTCTAGTCCCCAGGTCCTTACAAAACCTGCCTGAGGACGAGGTGTGCAGGAGAGCATGGAACTGAAGTGGAGCAGGGGAGCTCTGTTTCCATGGAGGCAGCAGATTGGCGCATATTGCGGGTGTGCCGAAGGCAGGTGACTGGGCACTGGAGTGTAATGGAATCAGGTGTGTAAATTGCCAGCCTGCAGTGGGATACAGAGGGGTTTGCAGAGCACCTGGTGTGATAGGGTCCCTCAAGTGTAACCTGGAACTGGGGTACCGCTGAGTCCCCCCCAACCTGGGCTTTCTCTCACGCTGTTGCTAAGCCACAAACCTTTGTCACATACGGCGCTCCCACAGGCAAGGATGCACCCCGCTGAGTTATATGGATGCTTCTCCCAGTTCACTCATGAACTAGCAATAAAGAGGTTCCCTCCAGTTCCCCAGGGCTGTACCATCTTGCCCTGCTCAGAAGCCTGGCCGGTGTGAATTCATTACCCAGTCCACCCGTCCCTCAATGCGGAGAGGACATGCACCAGCTCTGGTTCCTGAGCAGATCTCCCAAGCACTTCAAGCAAAGCCCACTGCTTTAGGTAAAATATAAAACCGGTTTATTAACTACAGACAGACCGGTTTGAAGTGATTATAAGTAATAAGCATAAAGATCAAAGTTGGTTTC